CTTTCCAGGTCTGTCCTTCTGCCTCATTCTCTCCCCTAGCCTCTTCCTTTGGGAGCAGAGGGCTGCAGCCGGAGCTCCGAGGTGAGTACCTGGGGAATGAGGGACAGCTCTGGGTGCAGTGTCCCCGTCCAGGGCAGAGTGCTTCCTTCAGAGACAGCCTGAGCTCCTAGTAGCAGCCCCTTGTCTGGGGGTGGATTTGGGTTTGGCTTTGCTGTCTGGGCAGTGCCAGAGCCATTCAGATCCTCTCGCTCTCAAAGCACAAGCCATGCTTGTGCCTGGTGGCTGTGCAGCGTTGTTTCCTTGCCTCCCCGGGGAAGAGGCAGCCCTAGTTGAATGTCTTTTCTCCTCCCATGGACTCTGTGGTATCCTCTGCTCAGAACAGGACCGTGAGACCTTGTGTCCCGCCCTCCAGGAGGGCATAACAAGGCTGCCTCGGCCTCTCTTGCAGTGCTGTCAAGCCAGATCCGCGAGTTCCCCAGCCAGGTTTGGCAGGCAGCACCTGATGTGCAGGAGGAAGCTGTGCTGGAGATGCTTAGTGCAGAGCCTGAAGACACCTTGCTTTTGGGCACCCTCAACCAGTCCCAGGAAGAGGGGCAGAATCCACCCAAGGTTGATCCCAGGTCCTCTTTCAACAGCAACTCATCCTCTGACCTTCCGGTGGCAGCCAGCTCCGAGCTGGGTCCTCCCCAGCTGCAGGAGCAGTGCTCTGGGAGCAATGCTTTGCCCTTGGCAGTGCCGGCAGCTTGGGAAGCCAAGAGGCACAAGTGGGTGGAACGCGCTGCCAGCATTGTCATCCAGCAGCACTGCGTCGATGAGATGTGATTGTCTCGCCTCGCCTGCCAGGGCGGTGCCGTGCGCCTTGTCAAGAAGGGACAGACAGAGAACTGTGTTAACGGATCATCTATCAAAGCAAATGCTTTTAAATACTCCCCTGATAGCTGGCAGCTCAGCGGGTTTATCATTTTAGAGGTGACCTGTTCATACAGCCTGCCCTGTGTATCCAGAACAGGTGCCTGTCGGAGATGAGGAGAGATGGGAAGCTCGGAGAGCTCTATTTCCTGCTGTGGCTGTTGACATGGTCTGAAGCCCTCGGTGCCTGTGTTGCTCACTAGGGAAGGGCTGCTGTGTGGAGGGTGAAGGCACTCAGCACCTGAGGGGCCTGGTACCTGCTCTGCCTGTAGGCAGGTGCCCTGTCCCACTTCCCCCCTGCCCTGTTAGAGTGGAACAGGCCATGTCCTGGACTGCCTGCTGAGTGTGGCAGCCATTAGGACGCCTTCAGCCTCGCGCTGCCGTCTCTTGTCTGTGCGCGGCGTGGTGGGGGA